GGTACATTTCCTACTTATGATATGTAGTTCGGTGTGCAGTTGACAGCTCGACCTGAAAAGGTGTTCCCCAACTCTTGTTCCTCCTTCAAAGAAAGAAGTTCGTTCACATTCTCTGGCATGGAGGCAGTTCCTGTTGACTATCCTTACAGTGGTACTAAGACGAAGTAAAATAAAATTGCTTAAATTGGTCTTCTCTCGTATACAAATTAAAAAACGACTAGTCGTTCAGAAAATTGATAGCGCTATTAATCGGAAGGTTAATCGATCAATCGCCCAGCACTATAATATTTACATCACTTATCCACGCAAAAATATACCTGCGCATGCTTATATTACGCGCAAATAAGCAAAACCCCCCAAAAATTACAATAAATACCATGGAAGCCAACTGTTTTAATAGGTAGAGTTCAATGGTAACCGGGACGACGTAACGGTGCTCGGGAAAAGGGCTCAAACGGCGTTGAATGATATTTCTAACCATTTTCGACGGTAAATTAAAAGAAAAAATGAGACTCAAGTTTAATGTCTTCAGATATAAGACTCCTAGCTGAGGTTTGAAAACTATTTATAAAGTGCGGATTTGTACAGCTAGATAATGCGACCACTTGCGTATCCGCTGCGACGGGACAATTTAACGAGAACCAAACATTTTATCACGGAGCGAACGAGCTTTTGTGCCTCCAAGCTGAACTGGAGACGGAGAGCTCATCTAAAAAACGAGCCGCACCCCGCCACCACCACCACCACTCGTTTACAATGGAAAATCCTGGGATAATCTTTTCGCCCAAAGCCTACCGCACCTCAAGCGCACGACGCCTCACGGCCTCCGAAGTAGAGAAGGAGAAGGTGGAGGGGGGAACTTCTCGACGGGGACGGACCCTGATTTACCTTCTTTAGCTAGCTGCTTCAGCTTTATCGCAGCATTAGGCGCCATCTATGTGCGGTTTCGGGAACTAAACTGAATGTCCCGCAATCTTGGACTTGAGTGATGAAACAAAATAAAGTTCTCCGACAGGTGTGCTTTCCGCGTCCAACGAAGTGTTTCCTCGAATTCCGAACTGTCATGCTGTCTCCGGTGGCGATCCTGGCGGCCACAACTGCGGTGGAGGATCTGGCTGGCGCCGTTCTGCTCAAGGTCGCTCTCCAGCCTGACAGTCCAGGGAAACTTCGGCAGCCACGGCGACCCTCGCGCCTGTTGGTAGTTTTTGCTGGAACTCCTACGGTCAACCGCCAGGATCGCGACGTCCAATAGCACGACACTCGGGGTTTTGTGAGGTCAGTTGTTGCCACCTCTGGCTATACATTCGACCTACAATTTGAATTCGCATGGACCATTCAAATAATCACAGAGGATTGGAATAAGAATGGTCAGCAGATAAATATGGCGGCGCACAGAGGGCGTGCCGCCATCTTTGTCTACTGGGTTATGGAGCGCATTCCGAGCATGCGCAGGGGCTCCCTTCTGCAAAACAAAATCAGACGCACGCTCCTCACTTATTTCACAAGTTCGGATGAAGAAATGATAATAATAATGCAAAGCAAAACTACGAGTCTAAAGTGGTATGGATGCCCAAGGAACCAACCCAACGCGAATAACAGAAAGCCAGTTTCATTTCTGGAACATCCGTACATTGTGCGAAGGTTTCAAGGTACAGGAGAAAATGGAGCCCGATTTCTCGGCCCGCATAGATCAGATCGTTCAAAGCTGAAGCACCGTGAAAATGTGACGGTAGCACAGTGCACAATACAACGCTAAACTTCAGCACATAACGTCAACTAAATAAAAATATTAAAAAAAAAGTTCCTCACGAGTCGGCGTCTACCGAAGCCGAATACTGACTGTGGGCGCCTGTAGCATTTACTTCGGTAAAAATCGCCTCAGTTCCAAATACAATATTGTATTATTTGTTCTAGGCAAGTTTATTTTTCGCTGACAAAACTGCTACATGCACCTGCAATCTTTAATTTCGGTTTGATAAACATTAGGCTTAGTAGGACGTCGGCTCATAGAGAAATTTTACGTTTCTTTTTGTATCCTTTGATCCACGTAACGCCTTGCGCTAAAACAATCGCACTTTATCACCCCCCCCATACAGCGTCACAATTTCACGAAGTTTCAGCTTTCTGCGATGCGTAGTGTATTAGTATGGTGGCCGAGAAATCGGGTTTCATTGTCTCGATCTAACCCCTGTAGGATCAGAACGCATACACATTTTTGTTAGGCGTATTGCAGTTAACAATTAACCGTTTTGCTTACTGTCATAAGAATAGAAAAAGAAAAATAATTTAAATGGCGCAACGAAAAGTAATAACATCTTAACGAACATATGAATCCAGTGGTTGGTTAGGAAAAGTAATCGGGTTTCACCAATCCATCTTGGAGGAACATTTCTGTGAGTGACGTCATCGTAAGTGGATTTCCGACCCGCGCCACGTGCCAGATACGCTGAAGCTCGACGTGAGCCGCCGCAAAGTGGCAGGCGCAAAAGCGGCAGACGTCCACCGCAAAGTGGCAGACGTAAAGCGGCAGACGCCGCAAAGTGGCAGGCGCAAAAGCGGCAGACGTCCACCCCAAAGCGGCAGACGTAAAGCGGCAGACGCCGCAAACTGGCAGACGCAAAAGCGGCAGACGTCCACCCCAAAGCGGCAGACGTAAAGCGGCAGACGCCGCAAAGTGGCAGACGCAAAAGCGGCAGACGTCCACCCCAAAGCGGCAGACGTAAAGCGGCAGACGCTGCAAAGTGGCAGGCGCAAAGGCGGCAGACGTTTACCGCAAAGCGGCAGACGTAAAGCGGCAGACGCCGCCAACTGGCAGACGCAAAAGCGGGAGACGTCCACCCCAAAGCGGCAGACGTAAAGCGGCAGACGCTGCAAAGTGGCAGGCGCAAAGGCGGCAGACGTTTACCGCAAAGCGGCAGACGTAAAGCGGCAGACGCCGCCAACTGGCAGACGCAAAAGCGGCAGACGTCCACCCCAAAGCGGCAGACGTAAAGCGGCAGACGCCGCAAAGTGGCAGACGCAAAAGCGGCAGACGTCCACCCCAAAGCGGCAGACGTAAAGCGGCAGACGCTGCAAAGTGGCAGGCGCAAAGGCGGCAGACGTTTACCGCAAAGCGGCAGACGTAAAGCGGCAGACGCCGCCAACTGGCAGACGCAAAAGCGGGAGACGTCCACCCCAAAGCGGCAGACGTAAAGCGGCAGACGCTGCAAAGTGGCAGGCGCAAAGGCGGCAGACGTTTACCGCAAAGCGGCAGACGTAAAGCGGCAGACGCCGCCAACTGGCAGACGCAAAAGCGGCAGACGTCCACCCCAAAGCGGCAGACGTAAAGCGGCAGACGCCGCAAAGTGGCAGACGCAAAAGCGGCAGACGTCCACCCCAAAGCGGCAGACGTAAAGCGGCAGACGCTGCAAAGTGGCAGGCGCAAAGGCGGCAGACGTTTACCGCAAAGCGGCAGACGTAAAGCGGCAGACGCCGCCAACTGGCAGACGCAAAAGCGGCAGACGTCCACCCCAAAGCGGCAGACGTAAAGCGGCAGACGCTGCAAAGTGGCAGGCGCAAAGGCGGCAGACGTTTACCGCAAAGCGGCAGACGTAAAGCGGCAGACGCCGCCAACTGGCAGACGCAAAAGCGGCAGACGTCCACCCCAAAGCGGCAGACGTAAAGCGGCAGACGCCGCAAAGTGGCAGGCGCAAAAGCGGCAGACGTCCACCCCAAAGCGGCAGACGTAAAGCGGCAGACGCTGCAAAGAGGCAGACGCAAAAGCGGCAGACGTCCACCCCAAAGCGGCAGACGTAAAGCGGCAGACGCTGCAAAGTGGCAGGCGCAAAAGCGGCAGACGTCCACCCCAAAGCGGCAGACGTAAAGCGGCAGACGCTGCAAAGTGGCAGGCGCAAAGGCGGCAGACGTTTACCGCAAAGCGGCAGACGTAAAGCGGCAGACGCCGCAAAGTGGCAGGCGCAAAAGCGGCAGACGTCCACCCCAAAGCGGCAGACGTAAAGCGGCAGACGCTGCAAAGTGGCAGGCGCAAAGGCGGCAGACGTTTACCGCAAAGCGGCAGACGTAAAGCGGCAGACGCCGCCAACTGGCAGACGCAAAAGCGGCAGACGTCCACCCCAAAGCGGCAGACGTAAAGCGGCAGACGCTGCAAAGTGGCAGGCGCAAAGGCGGCAGACGTTTACCGCAAAGCGGCAGACGTAAAGCGGCAGACGCCGCCAACTGGCAGACGCAAAAGCGGCAGACGTCCACCCCAAAGCGGCAGACGTAAAGCGGCAGACGCTGCAAAGAGGCAGACGCAAAAGCGGCAGACGTCCACCCCAAAGCGGCAGACGTAAAGCGGCAGACGCCGCAAACTGGCAGACGCAAAAGCGGCAGACGTCCACCCCAAAGCGGCAGACGTAAAGCGGCAGACGCCGCAAACTGGCAGACGCAAAAGCGGCAGACGTCCACCCCAAAGCGGCAGACGTAAAGCGGCAGACGCCGCAAACTGGCAGACGCAAAAGCGGCAGACGTCCACCCCAAAGCGGCAGACGTAAAGCGGCAGACGCCGCAAAGTGGCAGACGCAAAAGCGGCAGACGTCCACCCCAAAGCGGCAGACGTAAAGCGGCAGACGCTGCAAAGTGGCAGACGCAAAAGCGGCAGACGTCCACCGCAAAGCGCCAGACGTAAAGCGGCAGGCGCCACAAAGCGACAAACTTAAAGCGGCAGGCGCCGCGCGCGGCGACGTCCTGGCGTCACCGAGTGCTATTCTTGGCGCTCGTTGTGAGACGCTGGAAGACGCGCTGGCGGCGACGCTGACGCAAGTTGGGCGGCGCTGCATGGATTCACCATGTGATGACGTTTGGGAGGTTAGGGAGGGAAAGGGGGAAAGGCACAAGCCTTACTTTGATTTCACCCTACACATGCAAATTCAGGTTTAGACATTGACAACCTTAACATTCTTCGCTCAATTCATTAATAAAAATAAATAATGCAACGCTCTTATAGTATAGTATGTTCTTACCGGACGACTGTCTCCTCCTTCCGGGTAAAGCCTCTTACATAAATCCGACTTGCTCATTCCGGTTCCCGGAAGCTCTGTGATATTTTGCAGGTGATTGATTTTTGATGTCACGTTTACGCACTCTTCGGACAGGGACCTATACCCAAAGTTGAGTGATAGAATCAAAATGTATTGCGGAGTTTTCTTTTCTTCGTGGACCGACACACTCCTTCTGAAACTTTCACAAAGTTTTCTCAAAGGACCGATCACAAACGTATCTCCATTTGGTCTCGGGGCTAAGTGCCAAATCACGATTAAGAAGGAGCTTGATAGCACAAGGATCAAGTGGGAGAACGACACGGACATCGCTGAAACAAAACAAAACAAAAAAAAAGGACTGCATGTTTGGTCATTCTGCCAAACGCGTTTAAATGATGCTCTACGTTCGGATGGTGCATAGGGCAGGATGTCCCTTAATTTTTCAGTGTCCGGGGTTGCTGCTGCCATAACCTCCCATATTCGCGACTCCAGCGACCTATAGGGGGCGCCCCCACCAGACAAACATGGCGGCTGAGTCCAGGTCGCGGCGGCTCGGCCGGGCCGCCTGAACAGGTGGCGCGTTCAATTTAACAGATTTTCTTTTGTTTAATGCCCAATTTTATAGGTATTTGAACTGAGACGGTTAAGTGTAGCCGGTGCAGATAAACTTGCAAAGCATAGTTTTGTTTTGCCGGTGTTTTTTTGTTCTTTTCGTGTCAAACATTCGTTTCGGAGATTTCGTTCAAAACCGAAACTATGGGCTCTGGAGGGACGGTAATATACTAATCAGTTTTGATCATCTAAGGAAAGCGGCGATGACTACAGAATTGTTCCACAGAGATTAACTTTTCAGCTAACTCGCATGCCTCGACCATGCGACTTATCTGTCCGCGAAATCGAGCTTTTGTGCGTATCCGCGTTTACGAAACAGCTCCAGTCGTCTGCTCGGCCAACAACACAGGCTGCAGGAAAATTACGAAAATTAAGCAACCGCCTCTTGAGCCAAGGACCGTGTTAACCCGACGGCGCTTCACTAAGCAGCTGATACTCGTATTTCAATTCAGGTTTTAGTAGCAATCGAGAAGTCATTTTGACGAGCGGGTTATGTATTATATTACGTACTATGGGGGGGGGGGGGGTGTCCCACTAAAGCGATATTAGTATACCCTTCGGGTTGAAATATAAGCTTAGTTGACTAGCTATTAGGTGAGCTGCTGAATAAAAGTATATTCGACAGACGGAGACATACTACTTAAACTTAGCCAAATGGTTCTATAGCCGGCAGCACGGGGACAAACTGAAGAGAGTCTTCACTGAAGATCCGCCCAGAACCTCTCTGCATTGAAAGGAGAAAATTAGTATTTTTTTTGTGGCCGGTCAACCTGACCAATGTAGACGTATATTGCTGCTGGCTTCGACGTCCTCGTAATATAAATATTGGAGGCGCGATAGGTCAAAATGCCGTGACAGCAACTAACGTTGCGAGACATGTCTCCCACCTTTTGAAAACAGATAATTTCCCTCATTCATCATTTGCAGTGAGCAAGTTTTCCTGAATCAAGTAATTTCGAAATCAGACCAACTCCTTCAGTGTGGTCCAGAGGCTTTTTCGGCGAAAAGCAGCCAAGATGAATAGCCAACGCACCGACCGGCGTGGGTGGCTCAAACTTGAGGCTAACCGAACACAACCAAACTCAAGAAAAGCAGCTATCGAACCTTCCCATTCACTTGACTGCAACATTGACGTTCCCTTCAGTATCAGTTACCAAGTGTCGCTTTGAATGTGATTCGAGACAGACAAGAAATCACAAAGTTTTCCGTGATTCTTCCCCATCCCAGAAATCGAAAGCACGCGACCGTGTGCTGTGGAGTAAACGGGCTTTCAAACACGTAATAGGAGAAAAAATCTACTGAGGCTTCACCACACTAATGATCACTCACAAACTTAAGAAATATTCGGACCTTCGTCAAATTACATCGTTCGCCACCGCGCCGACAACACGTCTCCGCGAAAGCCACCAGAGACGCGTAGGGGCGCGGAGCGACCTGGACCGGCTGGTTCCCGGTTTTCCCGCTTGGCGGCGTCCGTTTTGCTGGAGTCGCGAATACTGGAAAGTCCGTCAAATGGACGACAGAACAATAGAACGCCCGGTCGCTGGAAAAGAGAGAGGAGAAGCGGCGGAACGGCGAACGCAATGGTAGCGCAGGGACGAACTCTCATCAGCGCCAGCAGACCTGGCGGCCTCTCCCCAAAACGCATTTGTATTTCTATTTCTCGTTCGCTTTTTTCACTTCTCCCAATTGCGGTGGTGGCGAGGCAAGGCTGGCGGCACTGGCCACTGGCGGTTTGCACGGCGGAAGACGACAAGGGTGCAAGCCGACGTCATACTTCTTTAAAAAAAAAAAAAAAGAATGGGAGTGTTTTTGGATTCAATTGCTCGCGCTGTGGTGGCGCCAACAAGAGATCCCCTCCAGGACGCTTTGGGCATCCTCTTTCTCCGCCTCCCCTCTCCCTTTTTCCGTGACCGCTTCTCTTAGGGTTCTGACATGCTTTTTCTGTGGTGGTGCTCTTAGTTCAGGTGGCGCGCAGGGCAGGGTTGAAAACAGATTACGTCACACCATTGTCTCTTTGTGACGCTGGGCGCGCTTCTCTTCGGCACAACTCGAATACACAGCCTTTTCACTGGATGTTTGGGTCATCAAAAGGGGGGAAGCGTGCTTTCATGGCCTTTCCACTCCATTCGTATTGCCACGGATGACAATGGATGAGGGCAATATGACATGAGAACTTTTAAGAGCCAAAGAAGCAATAATTCATAAAGTACGTCTCAATGTAGCGTAAACTAAATAACTCGCCGAAGACATTTATGACTGTTTACGAGTAGGAATGCGAGAGCATTCCTACACGCAGAGCATTCCTACAAGCAGCGCGCCACGTCTTCCTTTCGTACACGGCGCTCCGGCGGTGACATCACCTCTGCGCATGCGCGGCGAACCACGCCGGCTTCACGACGGCTTCCGCGATGAAGCATCTGTGGTGCTGTGCTTTTCTTTGTGTTTTGTTTCTGAGGCGCGTGCTTGATGACGTATTTTTATGGCCTTCTTTCGGGGACAACGCCAAAGCATTTTCGCGTAATGGGGCAAGTGCTCGTCCCTTTACGAAAGCAATTGCGTGTTATGCAGTGCACACGACTCGCAAGGAGAAACGATGAAGATACAACTGGGCCCAGGGACAAGCGAAGAAATAGAACTTCCCCACCTTCTTGGGCCTTTGCCAACTTCTGGGGATGGACATAAGGTCCCGATGCACCGGTTAATTACCTTCCTAGTACTCGTTTGTTCAAAGTACTCAAAGTTTGGTGTAACTAGCTAGCGCGTCCTGTCTTTTTTTACTATCGTTTCTCTGTGTGTGTGTGTGTGTGCGTGTGCGTGTGCGTGTGCGTGCGTGCGTGCGTGTGTGCGTGCGTGCGTGTGTGTGTCTGTGTGTGTGTGTGTGTGTCTGTGTGTGTGTGTGTGTGTGTGTTGGGGGCTTTTCTGCTTTTTGTTTTTTTAGTCCCCAACCCTACACCCTTCTTTCTTTGTATTGCGAAGTAGGAAATCAGGTCTGGGAGCAGTTTGTCCTCTTTGTGTTTGTAAATAAACAACTTTTCCCCTCACGCTCCAAATGAAATCTCGGCTTTTGTACGTTTATGATACTTACTTCATAAAATTACTAATCTCTCTTTTTGAGCAAATTGAAAAAACACTGTCTTTTCCACGGCCATGAAAAGTGGCCATAATATATCCTGCTTTGGGATCACACTCATTATTAGTCAAATATCCACCATCGTGATCACTACCGCATCTGAAAATTGGCAGAAGGGAAAACGATGTTACGAGTTTTTAACGAAAAAACAAAATTCATGGTTTCTAATTTAATACCACTAACGTACGCAGCGTCGGTAGCGGTAAGCTCCATATTATCCAAAACGTATGGAGCGCCTCGCACCACAGCAGGTGGCGCGTCCGCAGCTAAGGTGACAGCGCATCCGACACTTTGGTGACGGCAAAACAATTATTTCGGCAGTTGTCTACACAGACACAACAAAAATAGATTCAGAGACGCTGCGACGCAACCCTCACAAGCTGTCATGTCAAGCACCAGGCTTGTATCTGAACAATTCAAAGATTTATCTCTCAAGAGTGGCTGAAAAATATCGTGACCCTTTTTCTTAAAAGAACTCTCCCCGCATAAGTAGCTGACCTTATGTTGGCGATCACCATGTTTCCGGTTCCTTCGTTGAAGGCTACTGTAGTTAACGAGGAATGTGTTTTTCGTTCTAACTGACTGTAGTTTGAAGACGTCGTTGCAGTAGCTCGTCGTCAGGTTATGCTCGTTCAAGTCGATTGAATATGCTGTTCTCTTTTACACAGAAAACAAACAAACGTCTCATGAATAAACTTTTGCCTTGGAGTATATGTACATTTTTATTTCTTGAGTAGACTATTTCCTCGCAGCGGGAACAAAGTTAGAACCGCATAGACACGGGTCAAAATAAAGCAGATACAATGGCAGGTCGAAATAGGGCAGCTGTCAGCTATCTATCACAACAAAGGCGCAAGCGGTAGTTCGCTCTGCGACCGGCGAAGTGGAGAATACGGTCACTCCTGTAAACATCCACCAGACGTCGCTCGATCGTGACGTGTCCGCGGAGCAGAGAGCGGTATGAATGTCCAAGAACTGATCTAACTCTATGAGGAGTCATCGCACCAAACCCAAACACAACGTCGCGCTTCGAGCGCATTGTTTCTGCATACTGAGTGAAATAATACACTTAGAAATCCATCTCAAACCACGTAATGAGGACGGATATGCTCATTATTTTACATTTTACGGCATTTAATAATTTCCGACGACATAGTACTTAAAAAAAAAGTCAAAGTCCAGGCGAGCTGGTGTAAGTTGAACAAAATGGTAAAACTTAGACTCGGGTAGGAAAACAAGGAAAGCAAAAAAAGACAAAAAAAAAAAAAAAAAGAACAAGCAAGGCCTCCTACGGTCTCAACGGGAACTTACTGCGGAGCTTCACGCCTGCTAGGCTTTCGTTGTTGCGGCGGTGCCATAAGCGAGAATGCCCAGAACTTCGACGTTTGCTCTTCTGCGACAGCTTATAGCAATGTTAATATTAAATTACCAAAAACGCTCGAATCAACGTCTTGAAGTGATGCATGAACAGTTCCACGAGCAAGCAGGCTGGCGAAAGGGCCTTCCCAGTGTTGCAGATAGTTTGAGCTAGATGGCGCGACATGTCACACCAAACTAGGGAGCCTTCATACACTTTCGCCACGTCTGTCCTAGGGTGGCGGCATATCGGCCACTTGTAGCCCCAGAATGCACGCCCTTGGATCTCGTTCAAAGCGACCGCTTAGCGCCGCCCGGTGCTTTGGCACCTTTTAGATGCGGAGCATCTCTTGCTCGGGTCTATGTCCCGCGGCGTCGTAGTCCGCACTCACACTACGCATGCGCAACTCTCCTCCTTCCCTCTCTCCAACAGCTGCCCGTTACTCTCTCCGCTCTCTCTCTCTACCAGCTGCGTGCACTTCGCGTGCGTTCGCTTCTACTCACACCGCGCGCGCATGCGCAACTCTCCTCCTCTAGTCTCCTCTCCTTCAAGTGTGAATATAAGCAGCGTTCAGTTCACCCGCTGTTGACTTCACTTCACTCCGTTCTTCCGATCAGTCCCGTCAGTTAGTGGGTTGGCGCAAGCAAGCGTCAGCACCACCCCACAAACTAACAGCAACGCTACGTCCACTGAAGACAAAGCTGCGCAGCGAAGTGCACGCGACGCTGAGCGCAAACGCTTGAAGCGAGCGGCAGACCCTGAACTACGGCAACGAGAAGCGGCGTCCATTCGTCAACGTCGAGCGGCGGATGCTGAACTACGACAACGTGAAGCAGCGGCGGTTCGAGAACGTCGAGCTGCAGAACCTGAGGTTCGGGACAGTGGAGTTCAACGTAAACGTACGAAGCGAGCGGCGGAACCCGACCTTCGAGAACGGGAAGCCGCGTTGGTTCGTGAACGTCGAGCAGCAGAACCTGAGGTTCGGGACCGTGAAGTTCAAGAACGTTAAAAACACCGTTAATAACACCGTTAATAACGATCCGCGATGCTCCGCATCACCCCATGATTCCCCTCGGGAAGATGGTGTAATTTTTATAAAGGGGCACTGACACCCCAAAGGTCGTATTATTTTTTATTGTCTAAAACGATGCAAGTTATAGTCATAGACACGCAAAAAAAGAAAAAAAGAAAAAAAACAAAATGCGAAAAGACGCTTTTACGCGCGCGCGCGCGCGCGCCTTTTTATTTTTGGCGTTTATATTTCCTGCGCTCACCTCCTTGCTTCTTTTGATGGTTGACGTCAAAAATCAGGAAATTTAGAAGCTTTGTAGGCGACATTTCTATAACATTTAATAACGGCAATCGTAAAACATGTTTTGTAACGCAATTGCGAACGCACCACGGCCCCTCTTTTTCAATACCAAAACTCAAATTTCGGTGTGATGTCGCTTCCTGGATTTGTATCCTCACTCGGAAAACTTGCGGCGCTCGAGCAGAGGCTTATCGGCGAGTCGGGAAAGAAACCTTTTTTTTCCCCGTGCCGGCGCCCTTCTATTCCGCCTAACTGCTGAGGTCCCAAAGAAAGTCGAGTCGCAGGAGACCGCAAAATTTAACTCACTGCACTGGCGCGGATCGCGTGGTAACTTCAAATTCGGCATTTGGAAATTTTTTTCTTTTTTTATTCAGAAATACTGAATTCCCAAGTTTCGAATTTTGAGGGAAATGTCCCGGCATCGTTTTCAATCGTTTCGGGAAAAAAAAAATATTTTGATGTGTAAGTGCCCCGTTAAGGCCCATTTGGCACGCGCAGGCAGTTTTCAACACAACAATGGGTGTCTTCACCCTATGACAGACGCACATCGAGGCACCCTACACCAAACTTGTTCGCCCCGAGTCTATCCCCTTCAGACCTCCGAAATTCTAAACGAAACAAAGCCACTCCTCTCCATTGCAAGCTGGTTCCTAAAATTAAACTTGCGTAGCGTAATGCATAATATTTTATTATTCAGTTCTTTTTTGCTTTTGCAGGTTTGTCAAGTTTAAAGGGTGGACCCTGCAGTGGGGCACTCTCCCCAGCGAGCCACTCAAATAAGGTTGTCCACAGAAAAAAGTGTCCCAGGGACCTTATTTGGGTGTGCATGGGTCGACCCATTTCAGACCCGTATCAGACCAGTACACGTATATCATAATACCATATGACAGGAACGGGTCGATCAGTTTTGCAATCGATCAAGTTTCAAACGTTTTTTTTTCTTTTTTCCAGTAGGGTTTCTACGACTACCCGATAGATGACACCAGCGTTTCTTCTTGTAGGCGATTTTAAGAAGGCACGCCGTCGTAGGCAGTCGCAAGTGTGAAAAAGAGTCTTTACTATTATTTATGCCGCAGTCTTATTGGCTGCCCAGCGTTATAACAAGATGACCGGGACTCGACACGCCGTGCGTTCCTTGAGATGTGGGAGAGTATAGAGAATCACTGGTAAAGTCAACTTACGAGTGTCCTAGCTCGTGCACCGTGATTTTGATCATACTGAACAATCCTGGCGTGTCTTCGACCTCAAGGACGCGACGTTCACTACAAAGAGATCCAACGAAGCCTAGTCCTACGATTGATAACAAGAACCATGCAACAATTAATTTAGATACGAGGGGCGTGCCAAGTAAATTTCCACTTTTATTCATGCAATCACCGGCAACTGCGATTCTGCAATCACCGGCCACACCGGTCAGTACTTCCCCTGGAACATAATGCACTTGCGCTACCTAGCTACCACCCATGTGGCAACATTTCTATGCCAGGGCATAGTCTCTAAGATTTTTCGCGCACTCCACTCCGGCCTGTTTAAACGCTTGGCAGCACAACAGAAAAAAACGAGACGAGCCAGTTCTCTAGATATCCGCATGCTGCGCCTATAACCAAACTAGAAACGGAAACAAAATTAACACGCTGTAAAGTGTGAGCCCGCAGCATGAAGCTTGCATTTTCATTGCTCTCATCATCAGAGTAGAGACAGAAAAATCGACCTCTGTTGATTCGCAATTTTTATTCGCTGCTCCAGTCTTCGCGCTGTTTCGCTGAATGATACCTCAGAATGCAAGAATTAGTACAAGTCACTATTTGTCCTCCGCAGGCGCTGTCTGGGCCAGCGGGACAGGCAAAGAAGTGTCTTCGTCGTCATGCATGAGAACAGCTTTCTAAACTCCCCTCACGCGCACGGGCATTTTTTTTACACCTTTCGCGCCTCGAAAAGATGAGCGTTCCAATTTCGATCAACAGCTTCCTTGCCAAAACTCTGTTAAGGCCTGTTCACACATGCAGCGGAGCGCTACAAGCATAGCGCTTACCTCGCGCTAAGCGCGTGCTGACGGGAGCGTTCACCAGCTTTGTATCGCACCGTCAAAACTGTTGCTCATGGCAGACGATAAGTAGCTGACGGCACTTGAGAACCGCTAGATCAGCGCTCCGCTGCATGTGAGAACCGGCCTTTAGTTGTGAACTAGAGGAAGGAGTGAGATTAGGCACGGACGCGCGCAATGCATTGCTGTGATGCGGCGGGCGAGGAAAGATCCCGGATGTACGCAGCGGAGCCGCTGTAGCACGGGCAGAAGGATCCGATCTTTCCCCGTGTTTTCTATCGCTTATGTCGATTAAAGTGCAATACCGAATCGGCTGCGACGACGACGACGACGACGACGACAGCGCCACTAGCGCAGAAAATGCTATGCGATGCGTACGCTACTACAGCCCATGATTTAGTGGCGCCCTCGTGCCGTCGACACGTTGTGCGGCAGCCGTGAGCGCTCGCTGAGCTCACTACCTTTTCTCTAGTTCAGCTTAATAGGGAGTATCACTGACCTCTATGACTACTTTCTGAATCGCGTTTGCCCAGCTCCACCTATGCACAGAAACCTGGCCACGGTCGGCCATCTTTTTGGTAGAGTTATATTATTTCTAGCCATCATAATAATATGGCAAACAGCGCCGAGGCGGCAGGCTGGCATAAAAATAGCCGCGGTTCTAGTACGCTGTACCGTAGGTGACATTCCGTGCTTGATTGAAGTCGCTTCACGAAGCAGATTCTTGAAACTCAGTGGATGCGACAGAGGAAGGTCGACTATGCCATCACGTTGCGCGACGCGCTGTTCATATCGCCCCGATCGCGAAAAGACAAGAGCTTACCATCGGAAGTATTCAGTGTTTTCTGCTATCCTGGCGCGCAGGGATACGTTCGGTGAAAAATATTTATTTGTTCCTAATGTTTCCACGAAGTCGCCTCGCGACCATTCAGCTGTGGGTTGAGAACGTGTACCCTGTCTAAGGGGTGGTTGATTGCGCTACCATAGCAACCATAATACTATTCGCAACTTTCAGGGATGGTGGTACCGCGGTGTGAGAATCGCGCTCCTTAGCTCCGGGGAGATCAGCTTCACAACAAATGTGCTCGTTTACACCTTCCTGACGGGGAAAAACAAATAAAGTAAGGCTCTAATACTGCTCGTGTATAGCAAACCTGAAGTTACTTAAGCGTCGCAGTCCCAGCCTTGTAGTGGTATTCTACGACGATCATCCAGATGACAGCTATTTTGACAGGCGCCAGTGCGCCCCAGATAGGTCGTGAAAGTTTCGAATGGTGTAAAGAGGTAATATAACTCTACAAAAAAAAAAAAAAAAAAAAAATGGCCGACCGTGGCCGCATTAGCGGAGCGGGCAAACGCGAGCCAGCAAGAAGTCCTGGGGATCAGCGGGGAGCTTTCACTGCCGGCCATAGCTTTATGAACGACTGCAGAGCAAGTGCTGACTGTGAGTTTTCACCGCTCTTTTTCAACGTGCATTCCACACCATCAATATTACAGGTCGTAGCAACCTGTTAATATCAGCTCGATCGAGAGCCTGTTACATTTAGCCTCCTCCCCCTACCCTCCCCATAATCCCCTATTCCGTCACGATTGGATGACTTTATCAAGAAATCGTGATTTATCCCATTCCTTTAATAAACACGTTTTCTCATTTTCTCAAGAGCTCTGGGCAGCGCACTCAAATATGGCGTCCAGTGAATACCTTCTATTCGCTCTTTCTCGCGTTACTTCAAACGTGGTGGCGCCAGTGTGCAAATAGCCACCCAACCACTTCCGGTTCCGAACTAGACGGCGGGTTTCGCAGCATTCGCGAAATCAAATATGCACGCTATCTTCTGAAAATGGTAATTTATAGCACTGTCAGACTTCCTTCACTCTTATGATAAGCGAATGATGGGTAAAACATTAGGAAGTTTTAGAATAGCACACGCTAAAGCTTTGCGTACGCAAAGAATAGCGTCGTCGCCACTGCGCATGCGCCGAACGCAAACTATGTTCTGCACTTCGCGTGCGCTATTTTAGCGCACGCTATTTCTCAGAAATTGCGTGCGTACGCAAAGGGTCTTTGCTCTCCTCCAAGGAGGATTTGTGATGAGAAGTTGGCTAAAGCCAAGACGAGCACATTTACAAAATGGCGGCTCCCAGGACCATGGCTACGGCTGCTTTGGCGGCATCGTGAGCGCGACGTCGGCGGCATCCTCGCGACGGCGATTTTCAATACGGGACGACATTGCACTCGGTTTGGAAAACCCAGTAAGGTGGGCAACGATCACCGGCAACTTGATGCTTGCGACGAGCGAACATTATCGGCGAAGGTCAGTACACTCTTGCCGAGGCGACGCATGCGGACACGACCGGTTTTTTCTCAAGTTACAGCATTTTGTGCGTGAAATAAAAATTGACTGTATCTTGGTGGCATCGCAAGCGCGAGATGCTTGGGCTTTTGCATCGCGGCGGAGAAACGCTATTCTAAAACTCTTTTGCGTCGCGTCCGCTAACAGAAGCGCTAAATTTATCGCCAGCGTGCGCTAAAATTGCGTACATTATTCTAAAACTCCCTATTAGAAAATATACGTGAACCGGAAGTGTGCCGGGGCTACCCAATAGATGACGCCACTGAGTTTATTGCCAAACAAAAAAGCTTTTCGCCTTTCCACTCTGGTGAAGAAGGAAGCCGGTTGTCTGGTTGCCGCCGTCGCTCATAGATGGCGGTAACTGTCCAGAGGGTCGTGTAGAGAGTTATTTGTCCACAGACGTAAAAGTGGGGAAACTAGCCCTTCACGGCTCAGCTGTCAAAAAACAACCTTGTTTCATAAAAAAAAAAAAAAAAAAAAAAAAAAAAAAAAAAATTGGGTGTGTGTATATTTATACAGTCTAGCAATTAGTCTGCATCAACGGGCGACTTGTCTCCGAGCTGTAGATAAGAAATTTAGTCGGTGCAGTACAACCGCTAGCCTGGGGTCTTTAACATGCACCACGCAGTAGAGATACACGACCGCACGCCGGTACGATGCTCATTCAGATCGAAACGGGCAGGGATAGGGATTGAATCCGGCACCCCTGGGATCCGCAGCGCGAGCTTTCGCTCCTCGCGCTCCGAGCTGGTGTGCGCAAGCCTACTCGGCCACCGATCCACCTCTCTGTTTTATACTTCGGGTCAAAGCCGCTGGCGCCAGCGTGGAGCGCGGGGTTTCATCGTGCAGATCATTTCCACGCGTTGTAGCGCAAACAAAACCATATAGATTAAACCATGTGTACTTAGTATCAGGAGCGTAGTCATTTAAGCATTTTCTACCCCAAAAACATTCCCCCTCGAAATGCCAAATACCCCCCCCCCCCTCCCCCTGGTGCCCATTGGGCCGGCTCACTACCGTGTTCACGCAGTCGGTCTTGCACGGGGCACGGAGCAAAGGGGGAGGGCGGACTATCTCCAGCTTATATGCTTTCGGGAGGAATGTTTGTTGAGTAGAAAATGCTTAAATAAATGAAATAGTCAATATTTCTTTATTCATGCTTATTTTATGAGATGCGGAACTTGGTCTAAAAAAAACGGATATTTCGAAACATCTGTGCGGTGAAGGATGGAAATTTCAAGGCAAAGTATAACAAAATACCCTCACTGAAATGCATTGTTAAAGCAAACTACAATTGGATATAATAAAACGCACAGATGGTGATAATATAAAACAGGAATGGGCAAAATACATGCAAATATGTATCGAAATACAAATACAAAATACTTTGTCAAAAATGTATTTAATTACAAATCTAATTACATTTCCAAAAAAGCATTTAAATACAAGATACAAATACAATCAAATGTATTTGGTCTCCTCCAAATACTTTTTCAAATACTTTCCTCAACATTTCCGTGAGCGACTTCATGGCACCTGCAACGGGTTTCTGGGTATCTCATTTTAATTTTGCATCGCACACTCGGGAGTTAGTGTGCGAGTCTCTAGTGACGTAATAGAAATATAATCAGAAAAAAATGTAATCAGCTTGGACGTAATAGATGAAAAAAGTACAAGGCTTCAAGCAGCTTTTTTTTTTTTTTTTTTGTCGATTACATTTTGGTATAGACCAACAACGAACCGAGACGACCAAGACGCGCAGCACTAGCTAGAAACTTTTTATTGTTGCAACTCGCACCAGCTACCAAAAATCTGGACGACCCGCGCATTTAGAATGTTCCAGGCAAAAATATGTATGGAAATCAGGCTGCAAACCATCACAAGTTGTCACAGGCACATATTTAGCCAGTCTGCCTGTGAACGCCGATTTCGTCACTATTCTTGCCCTAGACTAGCACCGTAATCACTAAATCACTTAACGCTTGTGCTTGATTGAGGGACACTGCATTTAATGCAGAACGTAGTTTTCTTCCTACTTTGGACAGTGACAATAAATTTGAGGGATGTATTTTCGCCCACAAAATTGTATTTAATTACAATTGTATTTGAAATACTTACGTTTTAGTATTTAAATACAAATGCAAAATACACCAGGTATTTAAAACACGTATTTCAAATACTTGTATTTGAAATACTGCCCATCCCTGCAGAGTGCATATCCGGCCCTGTTTGTAGTTTCTTTAGAGAAATTGTAGGCTCTTTAAGGTTTTTGCAGACGCGTTTTTTCATAGAATATTTAAGTACCGTCACACGTAAAAAATTATATAAAGATATAAGAGACAGCGTATTTTATTTACCGCGGTATAGAGCCATATATTGTGGAGGCCCAGGGCAGGATGTTTTGAAAAGAGTGAAGAGGATGCCAGTTAAGCCGGGGGCTAAGACTCTCTGTTTTAAACCTCATACAGGGACGTTGTCAGTTTGAACATATTTAAGAGGAAAAGAGATTTTGTCCCTTGGGGAACCAACTGTTATACTTGAAAAAGTCCCGGAGACAATTGAACATGTTTTTTTAAATTGTTGGAAGGATTCTTTTTTTTTGGGGGGGGGGGGGGGGGGGTGCTTTAAAGACTCTACACAAAGATTTTCCTTTAGACCAACATAGTATTCGTTTCTTGGCCATCGGCAATGACGAGGGGGTGCCTTTTGATTTGCTAATGCTCCTGGGCCTACACAGTCCCGCTCTCCCGCTCGGCGAGGCTCCACAATGACGCCGACGCTCAGCCGGCCAGGATGTACTTTCGTCGAAGTGTTGTGGCGTACGTCGAAAACGTTAAAACTCAAGCTACCGTACCTGATTAGTTACCCAGAATTGAACCGCTCGAAAAGTTAAAAGAATTTCGATGTGTCAACGTCAGACCTTGAAGGGATGACGATTTCATATTTCTTCTTCATTTGTATATACCTGTCATGTAACCATGTGTGTGTAATGTAAGTATGTGTGTCCGTGTTGGGTCAAAAAACCAGGTAATAAAAAAAAAGGGATCGGCGGCCGAGCGGGCTAGCGCACAACAGCTCGGAAAACGTGGAGCGAAAGCTCGCGCTGCAGAACTCAGTGATCTTGAGTTCAATCCCCACTCCTTCCCGTTTCGATCTGGATGAGCCTCGTACCGGCGTGCGATCGTGTATCACTACAGCGTGGTGCACGTTAAAGACTTTAGGCTTGCGGTTGTACTGCACTGGCTAAATTGCTTATCTACAGCGAGTGACTCGTCGCAACTTTGAAATGGCTGACCAACTACACGCTGTATAAATATCCACACAACCCCAATTATTTAACTCATTAAACATCATAACGTCAAATGCCACCCCATTGTCACATGATCTTCTAAAAGCTTGGGGAGACGGAAGGCGTCGTTTTTGTTGAGAGGACTTTCGAATTGAAAAAGGATCTCCCTCTGGTTGTCAGCATAGGAGGAAAGTTGGTGCCCGAGGCAAGCTATAGACGCTTTACACACGCGCCAAACTACAGCCGCCATTGCTGACCTTCTCTTGTCTTACCGAGATGCCGAGCAACTGAAACGGTAGTTGACGATCCTCTACAAAGGCCGATGCTTTAGAAAAGGACACAGTGGAATCTAATATGGCAATAACCTGGCCTACTATGGTAATGATTAAGTGAAATAAACGGAATAAGAGGAAACAAAAATTGAAGGTCAGTTATGGCGGCGTTCATGCGCAGCTGCTGCAAAGCGTCTATATGACTCAAAGTGCGATTCAACTATGTCTGTCAAGAACTCTCTCGAAGAATTGGGAGTGTTCTTGGTCTATGTTGACTCCCTCAAAAAGTAATTGCTGGATGCCTTTGTGAACTCTTTCCAACTGTCACAACCCCAAAAGCAGGTATCTCGAATCGGCGATGTCTAAAAAAGGCTCATTTACTGCTCGAGATTCGCTGATCGTTTTAAAACCGATGCACGCTATCGGAGGATTCCGCTAGCTTCCATCGGAACAACAACAGCAGACAACGCGGGAAGAACCGATAATCTCACGGCGACGGCAGCGACACTGTTTTAACCGCAACCGCAGAAGCCCGCGCGCTCCTGGTGAAGGACGCTCGAGTTTCCAAACTGACCCTATAATAGTAATGTGGGTTTAAACCTACCGGCGTTGACAAAATAGTTGCTATGAGATATTACGAACTCACCATGAATGTCCATGTCTAATCCGGCATCATATACCATGTCCAACCTGCAATTGCGAAGCAGAAGTTGTCATTTGTCATAAAGCTTTTGCCTTACTGCGAGGCAGTCTTTTTAAGGCGAAAGTCTTAATACGTCCCATTACGGGAAAACGCAGCGTCGGGGATGTGCCCGAAAGATGGCCATAAAAATACGCCATTAAGAACTCGCGCTCAAAGTCAAGGCGGACGCGCCTCAAAAATAAAATACGAAGAAAAGCACAGCAATGCAGATGCTTCGTCACGGTAGCTGTGAAACCGGCGGGGCACCGCGCCTGCGCAGTAGGGGAGGGTGATGTTCCCACCGGAGCGCCGTGTGCAAAAGGAAGACGTGGCGCGCTTCGAACTTGATCGATGCTCTTTGTGTGCTTCGTGCGGCGGACTGTGAGGCGACCGCGTCTACATCTACGGCCTCGACATTGGCAGCAGCGCCTACATCTAAGGCTCCACACCGAATACAATACCGACAGAAGCAACTTTATTACGTGTAAAAACTATTGATGGGCCGAACTTTTGCCGAATCTTGGGATTCGGCAAGGCCGAACTTTTGACAAACTTTTCTAAACACACGGCAAAGATTCGGCAAAAATACATTGTTACTGGACTTAACATTGATATTTAGTTGTTTTTTTCTGGCAAAAAAAAGGTTCCTTTTTCGTAACCTAAATGCAACGCGTAATGCATATTGACACATATGTTACTAAATAAGGGGATATTCTACAAGATAATTGTATCGGTGTCGATTTGTCTTTTACTGACAATTTTAGTGACTGCTTGGAGAAGTGGAATGACAACGAGGCAACGCCTTGTCTCTGCACCGGAAGTCTTCGTGTGAAGGCAAAGCCCGAATCAGATATGCTTCCAGCTTAGGGACTCTGGTCTGAAGACGTTGGCCGAAGAGGAGCTGGTATGGATTGTAGCCGCTGATGCCCGCGTGTCCCGATACACAAGAAGAGCCATGTGCGGATCTTGTGATTTGAAGAACAATTCTTTCATATTCTGTACCATTCCTTCATCTTCCCCGTTTGCTTGAGGATACGTGGGACTGCTTGTAGTATGCTGAAAACCGAAGCACGATGAAAAAGCTGCAAATTCCCGCGAAGCGAATTGGGGCCCATTATCAGAGACCACCACATCTGGGATGCCAAAGCGGGCGAACGAACTCTTCACCGCTGCAATGACGGCCGTGGACGATGTGGAGGTCAAGCTCACCACTTCTGGAAAACGGGAGTAATAATCCACGATGAGGACTGCGGGATAGGCTACCAACACAGGTACCGATAAAGTAACCAAAGGGTTATCTCAACAGCGGCGGCGATCTCAAAGGATAGTCCAAACCTAGCAGCGCGATCCCCACATCTGCGCAGCAATGTAGACGACGTTCAGGGCCACATCACCGCGGGTCGGTTCGATAAATTACCTCCGTTGGTTCCAATGATCGTCTACCTTGTCTCACTCTCTCGAATATAGCGGAAGAGAAGACACACGTACCATAGTAACGACAGAAACCTAGAACATTTATTAAAACTCTCTTAATGAACTGCTATGTTCCACTCCAAAATGCCCCCCGCGTCGGCAAGGTAAGAAAAGGTCCTTAACTGCCAGACGCGCGGGGTTCCGGAGTGCCAAGATCGGGGAAGCATCGGAGAAGGCGCCGATACACGTCCTATCTCTTTCGCGGTCACCGGACCAATCCCTTTCCCGAAAGCGGAAAAACAAGAGGCGAAACCTCTTCGCCAGTCAGCAGTTATCCGCATACGAGCGGTGGAACGGAAAGAGGTCCCACCGAGAGAGAGTGAGGGGAGGGCCCTCCAGGACAGGGGACCCTCCGCTTCACGAACAGGTCGGAGCTAACGGCGAAGGCGGCCGAGCGTTCCGACCCGCGGCCGTTATCACAGCCATCGGGGAAGGGAGACCACAGGAATCCCCACAGTACATAGCGCCTCCCAGAGAGTTCAAACAAGTCGATGCCGACTCGTTGCCAAAGGGGGTTTGGCATAGGCGTGCCCAGGAGCGGTTCAGAGCTCTGCTCTCTGGTTTGCGCACACCGCTCACATTCCGTGACGAGCTGCTCAATCTCGCTGTTTACTGTGGGCCACTACGTTCCGCCTCGGGCCCGTGCCTTGCAGCGCCCGAACCCTCGATGGCCTTCGTGGATGAGCTGGAGCATGTCCTTTCGAAGACCTTGTGAAATAATGATACAGCAATCCTTTAGCAGTAGTCCCTTGCAGACCATGATACTGCCATGCGTCTTCCAGGAATAGGAACCTTTGAACTCTTCTCTGGCCAGCCACTCTTGCACAGCCGAATCAACCCTGCGTAGACACCATCTTGAGCCTGATGTCGGCTAAGACTCTCTATCGTGGCGACGTGAAGTCTTCGAATCCCTTCACGGCCTCACTGACAAAAATTTCCTCTGTATCGACTTTTGGACCTTGGTGCTGCCTGGTTGCGGGTTCCAGCGGTGCTCTAGAAAGGGTGTCCGCAGTTGCAAGAAGCTTGCCTGGGACGTAGAGCATCTGACATTGGCATCGCATGAGATGCATCCGCAGACGCTGGATACGCGGAGGGATCAGGTCGAGTTCAGCTGTACCCAAGAGTGCGAGGAGAGGGCGGTGGTCGGACTTTTTATCGAACTTCATGCCTCGCACGAACTGGTCGAAGCGTTCCACAGCGCACGTCGCAGCCAAAGATTATTTTTCTGTCTGGCTGCATCGCTGCTCCGGGGACGCGAGAGATCCTGACATGTACGCTAAAGCACGCCTTTCTCCCGTTGGCTGATCTTGCAGTAGCACTCCTTCGAGGCCGTAGGAGCTGGCATCGGTAGAAACCGTGGTGGAGTACGAAGGATCGTACTTTGCCACGCAGACCTCCGAGCTGAGCGTACTTTTCAGCTGGTCGAAAGCGGCCTGTTGACTGGCACCCAGTACCACTCGCTAGACTTCTGCAGGAGTGCTCGGATCCGTGCGGTTACATCAGATAGGTGTGGAAGAAAACGTACGACCTGATTTGCCATTCTCAACAATCTTCGGACTCCACTGACATTTTTCGGCGCCTCCAAGTCTACCAAAGCATGGATTTTCTCTGGATCTTGGCAGATGCCTGTCGAACTGACCAGAACACCCAGAAACTTGACCTTCTCGGCGGAGAAAGCGTACTTGGCTTTGTTGAGCTTCACGCCGGCCGCTTCGAGACGATTCAGTACCTGCTTGAGCCGCCTGTCGTGTTCTTCTTGCGTCTTACCGAAGACCAGGATGTCATCTATCATGTTGATAACTCCGTCTTGTTCTTTGAGAATGCGGCTCATCTGTCGCTGGAAATACTCCGGAGCTGAGCAGATTCCGAAGGCAAGACAGAAGCAGAACCTCCGAAACGCCGTGATAAAGGTTGTAAGCTCTTGGCTTTCTTTTGAAAGACTGACTTGGTGCAAACTCGCAGTGGCATCAAGCTTCGAAAAGATCTTGGCTTGTCCAAGTCGTCCTGAAATGTGCTCAACGGGGCAGAATGTGCCGCTTCCGGAGCACAACTTCGTTCAGACGAGTTAGATGAACGCAGATTCGGTAGTCTCCTGAAGCCTTGGGGAAGACAAAAATGCTCGCACACCAGTACTCAGTCGGATTGTCCACCTTCCTGATGACACGATCGGATTCAGACTTTTCGAGTTCTTTTCGGACAACGTCGTGAAGAGGTATGAGAATTCTCGGCACGGCTGAGTGAGAACGGTTGAGCACCAGGACGCAGTCGGATGACGTCTCTTGCTTGAGTTCTTCGAGGCCGTTGAATAAATTCCTTTCCAACAGCGTATCTGGGCCGGACACGTTGTCGAAGAACTTGACAACTCCCAAAGCTTGAATAGCCAGGAAGCCCAGAAGAGGAGGGTCTTGCGCTAGCATGACGTAGACCTGCTCAAGAAAAGTCTTGTCCTTCCAGCGTAGTGTTACCTCGAAGGTGCCTAGGACTTGCAAAGAAATGTTACCAGGCCCGGCCAACTCGCCGTCTACTTTCTGCAACTGTCGAAGAACGCCTGGAAATGAGCTGGGTAGCACAGTTATCTCCGCGCACGAGTCTACCATGAAGTGGACCGCGTAGCCATGACGTCCACCGAGACGACCTTAGCTCGGCAACTCGATGCGACGAAGTGAAGTTGGATGGAGCTCAAGTCTCTCTTCTTTTTAAAGACTGCGTCAAAGTGACCTAGCCGCTTGCGGTATCTACACATCTCTTGTCTGGCAGGACACTCGGAGCGTTGATGGTTTCCTTTTCTGCAAAACCAACAGCTCTTTGCGGTGGAAGTGGACGCGAACGACTTCTCTCCTGTGCAAGGTTTGGGCTTAAAAGACGGACTTTTCCGTTGACCTCTCGACCTTCGCCTCGGCGACCACATGTGAGGAATCTGAACCGCGTCCTGAAAAACCGCGGTTCGGTCCTTCACGACATCCTCGTGAATTCTTGCCTGGAGCCTTGCCTCCTCTAGCGTAAGCTTCGCACAACGGCAGAGCTTGACCGAGAGGCCAGAATTCAAGAATACCCACAACGAAGCGGTCTCGCACCAGACGGTCCTCCACTTCCGCGGACAAGTAGTGAAATTTTTTGACCAGTGTACGAAGCGCGGTGTAAAAGGTATTGACCGACACACCAGGCTCTTGGACGCGACGGTGAAACCGAACGCTCTCGTAGACCTCGTTCAACAGATGAATGAAGTGGCCCTTAATCTTCCGTTTGATGACCTCTACCGAACTCCAGTCCGGCTGAGTCAGCGTGAGCGTATCGAGGAAGCGGCGTGCTTCTTGGGAGCCTATGGCGTAGAAAAATGTCCTTACTTGAACCTCGCCAGATGTTCGATGAAGTCAGGAGGCGTAGCTGTAATCTTCGAACTGAAGCACCCATCGCTCCCAAGTGCTGGGATTCCAGAAGTCGAAGTTCGGAAGAGGCGTTAGTCCCATGGCAACGAGGAGCTGATGAAGCAGTTCCGTAGTGGCGGCGAAGATAGCTTCGGCCTCTGTCATGGTTT